CCTTTTTTTCGTCCTTAATATTAATCGACCGACTTTGTTTCTTCTTAAAGAAAATGAAACCCCCCGCCACAAATAAGGCAATTGCAACCAATGCCACTATGACGCCTGCAGCGATTACTCCTCCATTAGTACCATTACTGTCAGCTACAGACGGACTGTTATTGCCTGAAAGGAAAATCAAATTATGAACCACATTAGGAATAAAAACAGGGGAAAAAACCTTGAGCCTCGATTTTTGATGTCACAGTGAAGTTTGAAAAACAATCTGTTGCCAAATACATATTTGTTAAACTCAAAATGCCGCGTGTGTACAATGGGAACAGAGCGCCATGCAGTATAAATAATATACTTTATCCGTTGCCTCACCATGCATTTATTATTGACTCTCTGAAGGAAGCGGGAACTGTGCAGCTAAAACACATGTACCTTGTACCTTTTATTTGTACCTTTTAATTAGTACTTGACTTATTGGTAAATGGAGCTCCGTTTTAATCCAGATAGAACCTCAACTAACGATGAACCTCCAGTGTCATGTGATAAAACATATCTATCAAAATACTCACTTCAAACTCAAATTTTTGTACTATATGATGTCAAAAACATTTATGTATGTATGTGAATGATAACAAACATTTGAAATATAAAAGCTGGTGTTCTTCAAATGTTCAAGACAAGTAAGAACTGCGAACGATAGTATTGTTCACCCGCCTACCTCCAAGTCGATTTTCATGAGTTAACATTTTCGATGAATTTTTAACATTTTTTTTATAGATAGTTATATGAATTTTCATAAAACATTACTTATTTGGGAAAACAAGGAAAGGTAACTCTAAAATTTTATTTTTCACTATAGAAAACGGAAAATATTTTTTCCCCCCGTAACACAAAAACTCTTTTTTACAGGTTATATATAGACTGTTATTTCACAAATTCATATCAAAGCGTTTTATGAATCAAGGGGGGAACATATTTTTATTAACAAAAAACAACAAAAATGCTTATTTTCCACCAAATTCAAAGCGATCAACAACTAAAACCTTATATTTAATTGTTATATTTATGTTTTATTTATTTGCATTTCAAAATATGATGATGATTGATAGTCCGATTTCAATGGAAAATATCGTCTACCCCACCCCGTTTTTATTTCAAGAGCTGGAGTTATGAATAATTTACTATTTAGCGCTGGTATTATGACAATAATTACACAAAGAATTTATAGCCAATTTGCCATTTATATTTAATTAAAAGGTTGCAAAATGTAGGCGGGAATCAAGAGTTAAAGTGCGTATTTCTTATAAAGATTAGTAAGATATTTTTTTTATATATAACAACAATATAAGTTATATGTAGTTATTTTGTACAACTCATGTATAGTCTGCATGCCTCTATATTTTATAATAAAACACAATTCAATAAAAACAATCATTATGCATATATTGCTTTCATTCATTCAGTTACAATGATTTCATTGACAGTAACGAAAAATTGAGTTTTTTTTTAAATTTTGATTTAATTTTTTACGGAAATCATATTCAAAACAGAAATAAAAGTCTTAAATCTATTTTTATTGTTACACTTGTAAAGATGAGATAAGAGACGTGCTTGTGTGTAACCTATTTTAAGGTACATGCTTTTCATACCTCTTACTGCGAATAATCTTGGCGAAACATCTTGTTACATACGATTTTATTATTTTTTTTAAAAAATTGGCATTAATTTTTTGTTTCTAATAAATAAAAAATTGAGATACGTAAAAAGTCACCATTTCTTGTGTAGCAAATAAATTCTAAAACGAACATTAATTAACATTAACATTAATTAACGTGTTAAGAATAGAATATAATAGAATATAGAATAGACTTTTTTTGTTTGCAACGGGGCGTTCCATAACGCTCGTATTCGGAATATTTCGGGCATACTAATAATATGCAATACAAGCTCAGCGTTAAAAAAACATCAAAATATTGAACGCTAAAATTCTCTAGATTTTTGGTAGCATTTTATTAGAGACTATTTATTAGCTATATAATAATATACGGTTATTGAACTTATATTGGTGAATATTGGCATAAGTTGGCTGTACAAATGCACGAGCTTGCGACATGTAAACTGTCCCCAAATTATGTTATATTGTATAAGATAAGTTAAAAATAGATTAATTCTTAAATGATACAAAATATTTCTGGTAAATATCACATCATGCACTTTTAAAATGGATGCAATTTGAGACCCAGAGTTAAGTCTTAAAGAAAACCCAAAAAATTTACATGCATATAAGAACAAATCAAATCATGCGCCTCCTACCTACTACAGATGTTGTTTGTGATGTCACCCTCTCTGTTGTTTCTTCTACAAATAATATTTTTTTTTTATTTTTAATTTTGATAATCTACATTTCCTACTGTTTAAAAAAGATAATTAATCGTACGTTAGGTGTGTTAATTTCTCGATATAGTAAATAAAAAGTTAATTTATCCAAGTTAAAGGTCAAGTGCCTAAAAAGCATGTAGACTTATCCGAATTGGCTTTGTACATACAATATCAACTAGAAGGGAAATTTTAACATTGAATAATTCGTATATTTCATTTCTATTAAAAAGCGTTTTTGATTTATATTTACACTGAATTTAAATACAAGGAAGTCACTCTCCAAATTGCTAGATTTGGAGAATGCAATGAAAAAGAAACGACGGTTCGCAGCATGAGTTACGTAGAAAACATATTACTCTGCTTCACGTTACTTTTACCATATGCTCAATTTGAAGCCATTTTTGATGGGAAAATTGTCTTCGTGGTTTAAAATGAGAAAACTGTCCCAAGTTATGTAATATCGTATCGTATAAATTAAAGTAGGTTAGAATAATTCTTGTAAATATTTTATGCACTTTTAAAATGACTGCAATTACAGAGCCAGAGTAAAGACAAAAATGAGAACAAACACAAATACATGTATATAAGAACAATTCGAGTCATGCGCCTCGTACCTACTACTGCTGTTGTTTGTGATGTTACCCTCTCTGTTGTGTCTTCTACAAATAATAGATTTTTGTAATTTCTAATTTTGATTATCTAAATTTTCAATTGAAAGTAAATTTATCCAAGTAAAAGGTCAAGTGCCTTACAAGGATGTAAATTTACCCGACAGACTTTGTATACAAAATCAATTGGTTGGGGCTATTTAACATGAAAAAATTAGTATATTTCATTTCTGTTTCAAAGGCGTTTTTGATTCATATTTATATTTAATGAAAATATAAGGAAATCACTCTCCAAATAGGTAGGCATGCATGAAACATAAACGACGGTTTGCAGCATGAGTAAAAATACTACCGGTCTGCTTAAAGGAATTGACTTTCACTGTAAATTACCCAATGTTTCTACTTCAGAATTTATTCATTGGTAAAGTCAATTTAGTAAACAGCGATTCCTTAACTATTAAGAATGTGTCCGTTGTCTTGAGAACTCATATTTTAACTTTAATCAACCAATCCCTATCTCAATGGTTTTTGATTGATTTGAATTTACGATATCTTGGAAAAAACAAAATGATAAACCCAATCAAAGACTTGGTTCTCTTTAATTAGATTGATCATAAGAGACTGTCATTCACCATAATTAAATTGCAGGCAATAGCAAGGGAAGTTATATATTTCTTTGGATGTTCGATCAGGGGACGCAAACGCAAGGGTTTAGATTGGTTGTTGGGACAGGTTAGGAAAGGGACTTAATTCGTGCTGTTTTAGAAAAAGCAAGTGTCCATGCAGTCTGTTTTTTAGTATTTATATCGGTGTACATCTTACCTTTAACTGTAGTTGACTGTAGAGTTATCACATTAGTAGTCGACTCTAGAAACAAAGTTTGTTATCTTTTAATTAAAAACATTTTAACCACGTTGTTTACTTAACCTTGTGGAAACATCGTGAAAAAATTATTTGCTCCCTTTTTGCATCAGTAAAACGATATTTATTGAGTTGTCACTGAAAACGTTTACTTTATATTACAATGATGATTTGAAAAAAATGTTTTGAAAAATGGTTAAAGGAAAATACAAGGTAAAACTTTAAATAAAGAAAATAAAATCTAAATTAGATATTGTTGAATGTTAAATATAGGCCTAATTTGAAACGTCTTCAAAACTTAAGTGTTATGTGGAATATTTGTAGTATATCTGTATAAAGATGTTAGAACATGCACACCGTAACGTGAAATATGTGGAAATGACGAAAATATACTTAGTCTAGTATTCGAGTTAAAAGGTTTATTAAACATTACAAAATGGGAACGAAGCAAACAAGGAACTTTAAAGATCATGCAAATCAGGAAAAAGGTGAATCATTATAATAAAATATAAGGATAACTGTATAATATCTCCGAGAATACACAGGGAGTATAATGGTATATGTATCATTGCTGACCTGTCTGGAGACTCGAAGTGGTCTCAACATCTACCTGAGTAGTTGTTTCTACAATTTTAGATTGGAAACATCACGGATTACTTTTTTATTTCTGCTTCAAAGTATATTTTTGAAGTTAAGTTTTAGATTTATTTGTCTTCTTGAGAGCAGAAGTTTTTGTTGGTGGAAGAAAGGTTACACTTATTAGGATGAAGATTGGTGATATTTCAATTTCAACACTCAGTTTATCCAAAACAATCTAATTTGAATTTTCAATTAATTAATACAGCATGCATCAGTTTTGCTTATTTCTAATTATTATTTGGAATTGTTACACAAAAACAGTGTGAGAAGAATAAGTTAGTTTTCTTTTTTAACATGCATGCATATAACACACCTTCGTATTTATCCGTGGCTATGGTGGTATCATCAATATGTGGAGATGGTTTGTCTGTGTGTTTACAATAAAAATGTGTACAGTTGCACAGATTAGTGTATAAATATGCATATCATGTTTTGATAAATAAAGATACTCAATTTAAAAATTTACTTGACATGCAAATATTAACTACAGACCTGTGTTAACATACGTGGTGGTATCATCATAATGTTGACTTGTATCTACCATGGTGAGGCATAAAATATGTAATGAACATTTAGAAATGCGCATAGGCATGTTATGAGGTTTTATATCATAATCTCAGGTTTATTGCGCAACATATGTCCAGTTATTTCCACTTTGCAAAAATAAAGACAATACTCTTCACTTATGAGTGAATTATGTTCTAAATGAATTTTACCTACAAAGATGTTTTATATGCATTAAAATTTGTAAATTCACATTATAAAACAATATCCCAGTATTGTAAGGGAAAGACTATTTACTTTATAAATGATGGAATTATATATCATTTGGTCGCTAGAAAATGGAAGAAAAAAATATTTGAATATGGATTAAAAAGGTGTGAAATAAGGGAAAAACGGAAAAATCGGTAATGCAAACAAAACTATATAGTTGATCATGCATGCATGGTTATATTCTTAATTAACTCATTAAACATATAACACTACAGACCTTTCTCGACATAAGTGGTTGTTTTATATTTTTGTTGCGTACTAGTTTCTATAATGTTAACAAAGAGCCCTGAAATCTCAAGAATTTTTTTAAAAAAAAACACACTTAACCACTTACAATTAAGAAATTACAGCTTAAACATTTGTTCATTAATTAGAATTACATTAATGTGTGAAAAAAAGGTTTGCATGCAGCAGTGTCGAACGATGAAACAGCGATTATTTAATTTAACCGCACGTGCTAAGGTATGGTATAATTATTATAAGTATACACTTAAAGATACAATTGTATAATTCACATTAGCGGGTAACTCAATTTATACACCTTACTTATAACAGCGTGCAACAGAAAAAAAAACCAACTATTACACATTTATAAAGTCTTTTTGATTAAAAAATCCAAAAAATGAATTTTTTTGACATATTTGAATTATGTTTTTTTAAATTATTATTTCTGTATTTGCATGTTTGATTTTTCTGATAGTTTTTTAAAAATATTTCTGTTCTACCCTTTAACAAAATGAAACAAACAGTTGCAGTAAATGGCCCTTAACCCACCTTAATCAGACACAAATATATGGCCTTTAACCCCTGATACGTACCCGTTGTAGTGCTTGAATCACTAAAGGTGGAGGGTTCTACAATGTGAAATTACACACAAGTATACCACAGTTTATGTGTAGGTTTCTAATGTGTGACACATACATTGGTTTTAATATGTTAGGGTCAAGATTGATTAATTAGCTATACACGTGTATAAATACTTTTAAAAATGAATTTATATTAAGATTCATTTTGGTTTATGATAAAATTCGTCTATAAATGTATAGGAAAAATATATCTCCCAACATCTTCTTAAAATAGTTTTTTTTTATAATACTGCAGGTATGATTTTGAAATTAAACCTTTCTTTCTGGTTAAGTTTTTTTTAATGGAATTTCCCTGTGAATAAGTACTAGAAAATTAATTAAAATGATAAAAGACGAATAGAATATCCCTGGAAACGGGATGTTAAGGAGGAGGGGGTGTCCACAATCACCTGAGGGGTAAATTGTACAATAAATGTATGCAAAAAAATATATTTTTCATATAATTGGCTATTTTCTTTTAAACATTTTAATAGTGGAATAACTGAAGGTCCTATCATGTTTATTAAGATTACACCTTAATTTTGGTGGTTTAAAAAAATGCAAAGCCAAACAAACCATCTTACATCTCATAATTTTGATGTCTACAATTAAAATTTTGTAATACTTTTATTATTCCGAAAAATTTTATTAATTAATTGGGATAGGATTTTCTGTCAAACTTTGTGTTCTTCCCCCAACTCTTTCAAAAATGTCAAAAGACAACTATGACGTCATCATCAAGTTTACCGATCCCATATATATTCTAATAATGTATATAATTTACAATTCTAACAAGTTCTCCTGTTACTTTTAGTTCATCTGAAGGGAGATAACACAGTTAATAACCTGCACGTGATGGAAACATAAAAATTGTCTCCCTGCATGTGACTTGCTTAACGTAAATTCAATGGTGAGATAAAGGTGACATAAAACAGTAAATGTGTAATTCAATAAAAAGAACCAAAAATACAGTAACTTAGGAACAAAGCTTCTAGCCCAATGTTCAGAGTGGCCTAGTATTAAAATTGCTTACCAACAATGATATTTTCTACTATTTAGAAATCTGGGTCGTAATAGCATTGTATTTCTCATATTTATCTCTGTTACCAAAGTTAAATCAATTATAATAATTTATGGTGCAGTTAAAATAAATATCAGGGGTGTTGAGCCTGTCTTTCCAAACCAGCTGTTAACATATTGATATCACAGTTAGATGAATTGCTCTCAACAAATGCGCATTATTCAATACTGCAACTGAAACTAGAAATCGATTGCATATTTGACAGTTTATATTAATTTCAGACTTTAACACAGTCAAACACTTAGACTTACCGTTCGTGTCAGCCGTAACTGCGTTAGTAGTACTTGTTGTTATATAAGCTAAATAAAAAATGATCTTTTTACATTATGCAAAAGTACCATTCGTTATTTTTGAAGACCATATAAGTCAGTTGTACTTGTATACGTATACTGTATACGTATATTGCTAAATAATTAAATTAATTAAACAAAATATTATTAAATTATAGAAATATGATTGAAATTTCATCTCTTCTTGACAAATGTCTGAAAATTGATTAATATATGCATTGATAAATTTGGGTAAATAATTTTAGTTATGGTAGAATCATTAGATTTTGTGTTTGCCCAATTATCGTAAAGTTCTTGGTAACTTTAAAGCACAAATTAACATTCTCCCCTTATTAATACAATAGGATGACAGAGTCATATTTCTTTTTACTCAGAACAGAGAATTCACCATTTACATCCCCACGAACCTGTAAAATTTATGTAATCAACGAAAAGGAGTCTCCACGAATATAAATGATTCCACAGTAATTGTCTGATTCACGATATATGACAGACACAAGTATATAGAATCATTTTAAGGACAGATGATCGGTTCCTCAATAATATATCATTGTTTTCTGGAATTTGTCACTGAAGTATTACTAATTTAATATATTTGCTCACAAAAGAATTGAGGTACCTTACAGGGCATTTGTTCAATATAGAAGAGGGTAATGTTTCTTCTATAATTCTTTTGGGAAAAAATTAAAAATGATTCTTTTCAGTGTTGCAATTATTTTTTGTTTAAAAATCAGAATGCAATTCAAATTTTGAATATTTTTCGTACATATTAAAAAACACAAAACAGATATATTGGAGGAACGTATCGTCTAGGCTTGTTGTTGTTGTTGTTGGTGGTGGTGGTGGTGATTGTGGGTTCTGGACGCAAACTTTTATTGAATTGGGGGGGGGGGGGGGGGGGATTTGGTTTATAAGATTCATCGAATAAATCTGCTGAAAAAAATTATCGTTTTGGGGGGAATAAATTCGTTAATAAAGGTACCCCACGAAATCCACGAACATGTGTCACTCACCAAAAGATACCAAAGTAAGCAATATAGAATTAACCCACAGTGTACTAATCTTTCTATAAGGACGGCTGTTACCCAGGGTTTTATTTATTTTTCCTTCTTTTTATCTTTTATTGGTTCAATTAGCAATATGCTATTACTGTTTGAGTACTATTTACAAGTCAACTTATTCAACATATTTCAATCAATTTAATGGAAAAAAAGCTCATTATGAAAAGTAGCTGAGACACATGCAACACCCTTATGAACTATTTATTGAGTATATATAATTTATTTCCTTGCGTATTTGAAATTTTTTCCTTATTTGTTGTTGTTATTTTCTTGCTTTTTTTTAAAAAAATCCTTTTGCTTTTATAATCAAATATTAACTATATTAAAATTCAATTTTACCAGAGTTAAATTTATTTACATTTTAGTGGTAGGTTGATTGATCGATTGATTGAATGTTGTTTTACGTTTCGCTCTTGAATTTTTCACTCTCATGGATTCGCTGTAGTGGTAAAAGCCAAAAAAATTAGAAATTAGAAATCGATTGCAATGTTTTCCCACTAAATAGAGTCTAGCGTGTTGCTTGTTAAAAGCCATGCCAATAATTTTATCGATTTGATTTTACGGCTATATATGTACATGGTTTATTCATTTTGCAAAAGAATACAACAAAAAAATGCTGAATATTTTAGCGATTAAATTCTAGCGAGCACCCACCAAAAAGCTTTAGTAAGGCAAAACTGATTTTTTTTTTTTCAATTTAAAAGTCGTGAAATTTCATTTCGAAAATTAACTTGATTATGAAACTTCCTTTGTAATAAATATCTACAAATGGTATTGTGCTTATTTTTGTGTAGGCTGCAATATCTTTGCAGGAAAAATAAGTGGAAATCTTAAAATAGATTTCATAAAGCATGTTTTGTCACTATTCCTTAAGACGACATTATGTGGTTGTGTTAAAATAAGATGGTGATGAAGTATAAATAGTCTTATTTTATCAAACTAAATCAAATAATTTGATTTTCTTTTATAATGAATTAACAATATAATGTAGTTCAGTTTAGAGACCGTAAAATTAAAACTTGATCTGTAGGTTAGGATTTTACATTCCTTAATATTTTTCTCGTAATGTTGGCCATATTCCTTGATGCAAAAGAGTAAAATTATAAAATTCGAAAACGATTCAAAACGACAATGACAAACTATTAAGAATCGTATATTTTCAGACATGTTTAATTATTCTATAATAAGATAGAAAAAAGGATGGGAAAGAAAGTTTCCTATTTAACACTTCATCCCTTCATTGCAAACACATAAATAGGTATGCACTCTTTCAACATATAACCGATATCATTGTAAAAGATGTCGTACATGCATGTAACAAAATATATTACATATACTCACAATTTGTAATATATTCCCTCGTTACAAATATATATGATGCCTATAGTTAAACAATGCGCAATATATGCTTAACAAACATGCATGTAATGATAGCCTTACCAGTAGAGGTGATCCCTGTAGTACCACTACTGGATATCGCATTTTGATCTAACAAACAAGGAGTTTTCTACTTGTTTACAAATAATAAAATGAATATTGCTTTCAAATAGAGAAGAATAATTTTCGATCGCTCTTTTCATTCCTTAACCATACGTTGTCCTGTGGAATTTATATCGATTAATAAAAAAAAATGCTTTGGATTTTTTTCTTTAACCTTTTTATGCTTAACATCATTATTTCTCAATCAAAAATACTTTCATTTTATCGAAGTTTTTTAGGTTTTAAATAAATTGAACTGAGCCTTCCTGAAATACATATGCAAATGAAATATGCACTATACGTTACGGTTGTAAATGATATTGATAAAAATCCATCTTTTAATTAAAGTCTATTTGCTTACCGATACGTGTCACTCGAGCCAGAAATCCTTTTTTTGTCACCTGGCCGTCACTGCTGAATTTGATTGTCAAAGATGTTCCAGAAGAGGCATAGGTATTCTGTACCGGGACGGTATCTCCACAAACTTTGGCAATGACAGGGGAACTAGTCGAGGGCCCTGTTTTATGCCAAATATTGTTAAATATGTAAACGTGTACTTTTTCAATAATAATTATTAAATTAACAATATTATAATTATCATATATGAAAATAATAATTGCCAAATTATTTTAAAAAAGTATAATAAACAAGATATTTTTAAAAAAAATACATAAAACTTTACAAGAAATTTAATGCCTCAAAAAGAAAAGATTATGCACACATTTTAAGAAAAAGGTATATTTCTGTTACCATTATAGATTTCTACAAAATCATAGCAAGTCCCGGTGTCGAGCTCCACCTTCATATATATGAACTCAAACTGAACATTTCCGCTTGAATATGTGTATGTGTATGTACAGTTACGACTTCTATAATAAAAAAATATATACATTAAATTCATACTACTTCAATGAATAGGTAAAAAATGTACAATACAAAAATTACTCTCGACCAAGTTTAAAACTGTTTTTTCTTTTATTTTTTGTCCTTGCAAGATCCTTCACTTCTTGTTAGTATTATAAAATAAAAGATACAAGAAAATATACATCGTATCTTAACTGGTGTTACTACAGTTAAACCTGTCTAATCCGACATGAACAGGGAGACAAATTCTGTTTCGAAATAGAATGGATGATGCATTGCACAGTGTAAAGAGATATATAAATAGTAAAATGAGGTCCACATTTAATGTCTGCATTCACAGCGTGTCGGATTGCACGGGTGTCACAGTAGACAGTTTTCACTGTTATCGTTAACTTACGTGGGGTAATTGGCGGGGAAGTCCGGTGAGGTCAAGGTCAGTGATGAGGCAAGATTAATGTTAAATGTTCCAGTAGCCGTACAATTTGCTGAAAACAGAACCGTTTGGTATGAACAAATTTATTATTTAAAAAAAAAACTATAAATCTGAAATACATGTCAGAACTTTTGCTTTATTCAGTGCCTTAACTACATTTACCTAATATATTCTGAAAATTGCTAGAAAATGTAAGATTGCGAAACATGGGGTTTTGTCATACGTAATTGAAGCATTACGTCACAAACAGTGAAAAGAATTAATGCTTGCTATTTATTGGCTGATAGTTTTTATATAACTATGAATAGGATTTGGCAGTGATTTCTGTTGACTTTCATGATTTTTTTTACATTGTTTGATAATCAGTATAATTCACAAATAAATAAAGATGCCAATCTAATACACGTCAGGATTACGAATCGTTAAACAACAAACAAACGAGCAAACAAAAAAATCTTTTATATACATTGTAAAGATAATAAAAAATGAATATTTCACGGGTATTTTTAGTATTAATTCTACCTAAATATCAAAATGATGTGGCCACGCGATGTCTTGGATTCAGCTAATTTTTTTTCTCACTGAAACTTGTGAATGAATGAAAAGATTGACTATATGAAAGAAAGCATGGTAGTTTACTTGGTTGCCATGGAAACGGGCCTACAAGGTGTAAATCATAGTGGATATTGCTATTTATCAATAATATCAAGAAAAAATACTTTTTGTGCATATTTTTTATATGCTTGATGACAATCAAAACTATGTAAAAAATAGTATATGTCACAAAGTTTTTACAATTTCTAATTTTCTGATGCCAAAAAAGTGATTAATTAGTCCTCGTTAACTCCCTTGTTAGACTTAATATTTAAAGACTTTGACAAGTGATATGAAAATTCTAGTAGCAAGATTTAGATTCAAGAAGTGTTATTTTGCAAATATCATTTAAAACATTTATGGGTAAATGAAAAATAAACATCTTTTTCACTATCTGAGTTATTTCCCTTGTTGGAGCTCTTCTGCATTGAAGAATACAAAATGTGTGAAATGTAAACAAGATGGCAGACAATAAAATCTGCATTTTTTCTTCTTGTTTTGAAACATCTTGTTCAGGAAAATTCTACCTCAAGAGGCTCAGAATTTGATGAAAAACAGTTAACAAAGTAGGAATAATCTTTAAGAAAAGCCAAAGGGTTGGTCTGGACATGATGAGTATTACACGTATAGCTACTCGTAGAAAGAAAAACATGCGGTATAGGGCGAAGGCCGAGAGGATTTTAACTGTTCCCTTCAAGATGTCTTTGAAATAGAGATCGAGAGATACATGTAGTGGTGTGGTAGTCCCCGACCGATCCCCACTGCAATGTGTAAGTATTTTTGGGAGTTGAACTATGTTCAATCTCCCATGGTCATCACACATTTAACATGCGCAGTAATTTGTGTTGATTATATAGAGCTGAAAGCGAGGCTACTGTGTCGACCGATTTACTCCGATGATATTCAACAGAAAACATGCATAAACATCCGCCACAAATAGTTCATGTCATTTTCTCCTGAATTGATCTAATTTTCATAATTTGAAATGTAAGTAAATGTAATGATAAAGTAATCTTATTTTGAATATTAGATTTCGTTCAAAGTAAAACTAAATAATAAAGAACCTCAAAAACTTTTCGTTATGGAACTCATTTTTTGTGTAGCGTCATACACTGAAAGAGATACGAACGACAACTCCACATACTGACGGCAAGCAGTAAATCTAGTCATCCCGACGCCCGACGGTCCCGGATATTTAGTAATTTCTTTTTTGCCGATGCACAGAATTTATTCAAACTTTTTATGAACATTTTCTTGGTTTGAATGAATTCATTAATCATAAAAACTTATAGGAAACATGCGTATTTATTAATAAATCAGTAGTATCACCTGCCAAAAGCGGTAAATCTAGTACTCTGTTATAAATGTTAAAACCAAAAACGGACACAGATGTTTTCGTAAAATCGCGATTAAAAACAACAAATTGAAGTATATTTTTTTTTATAAAAGGAAAACCTCATTTACATACTAGATAATGTGCATGCACACAAACTCTCACATATACCACTGTTTTTATCTTTGGTCATTAAATATTTGTTTTTAACTTGGTATTGCTTTTTTCTTCACAATATTAAAAAAATTAAGTTCTAACGTACTCCATGTATAATGTTCGTGTAATTGAAATACATTTATATTCACAGAGAAGTTTTAACAAACCTGTTAGCTCTTAAAAGGATGGTGTGTTAAAATCCACATTTTATCAACATTGATATTATTCCTGCGAAACTGAAACACATGGGTAAATGTACCAGGGAAAAATATATAACAAATTTGAAGACTGTGAGCAGTGAATTATATAAATGATCAACCGCCTCTAATATGAATATAATGGCATTGTCCATGTTTTGCAATGGGAAACCCAAAATATGTATAGGATGAAAAAGTAATAGATGGTGCACAACGGCAATATGTAATAAAGATTCTATGAAAATTTCGTTCAGTAGTGTAAGAGGAGTTGCGGATAAGAGATGGGTTTACCTTAAGCGTAACAAACAGATGGACAGAAATCCCGATTAATAAATACCCTCCCGTTTTTCAAGCAGGGGTATAAAAAAGGACTAATGTAGGCAGGCAAGCATTATGGCCCATGCTTTTTTTTTGCTATTCAATGTCTCTGAATGTCTTCCTGAAGATTGTTGCAACTCAGAAACTCTGAAACAACTGTCTGTATTTGAAATAATAATATTGTTCACTCACTTAACCTCCCGATCAAAAATTTTAATTTACACCATGTTCAACTCCCATGAGTGCTTTCAGTACTTTGATTTTATTTATAATTCTATTCAGGTGTCACATGTACCTGGTAACTGACTGTAAATTGAAATATAAGACAATAAAACATACAAAACCATGAAAACTTGGATGCAGAGTTGCACATATTACATGTACATGACATTGAATCAGTTACTACTGTGAAATATATGTGCCCGTTTTGGGTACCGGTATTTTTTTTCTATAAAATTCAGTATATTTGAAGAAAATTGTATAAATTTATGATTCCAAGTGATATATAATATGTTTGTGTCCATTCTATTTTAACAAACAGGATTTGTAGAAATCATACCACGAAAATATTAAACCTTTGACATTTGACAATGATAACTGAATAGTGGGTTAGATTTTTTGAAATTTTAAGCAATATTAGGACCGTAGAATATTTGAAAGAATTGATAAGAAAAAGTGTAAGTGTAGAATTATGAAAATTAACTCAGTACACAAAGACTGCTAATAGTGTTCTAGATCTAAGTACATATACTTTGTCATACTATGTGAAATCATTTTTGGGACCTTGATACAAGTTATTTGCTCTGCAAGGTAATGTATTGTAAAGTAGGTAAAGAAATCTATCCAAGGCTGTTGGAATGTGACAACTCCATTTGTTCTTGGAGTTCTTATAAATGACTTTTCTAAGATGCAGCTTTCTGTCTCATAATCTTATTTTACTGATCACTGTTTTTCAGCTTTATATTGCAGGCATATCAATCTTGTACACATTTATGAATAGTTTTAGTTTTACAGTATTGTTCTGTACAGATGAGATCATTCTGATGCTGTGTACTTTACATGTCAAGGACATATTGTACAAATTAAAAATAGAAATTAAAGAACAAAATAGATTATACCACATTACGTGTAATATCCATAAAACATGCATGTTTTTATTACAATTCATGGTATAATAACATTTCATTTACCACTTTAAAAATTAATTGTCAAATTCATTTCTACTCTAGATCTCCGGCGATTTGTCCAAACTGCAGAAAAGCTTTATATGTAAATTGAAAAAAAAAAATGCTTGATGACAACATTGAATTCCCTCCTTTATCAATCATTCCTCAGGATACAGAAAATTTTCAGGATAACATTTAAATATCAGGTACATATAATATATATATGATGTTTAGGATTTTAAGCCAAACTTTCAAATTAAAAAAATAATTTAAATTGATCATTGCAGCCCTTGCAAGATTTTCTTAATGAAGATTATCAGGATTACAGATCCACTAGCAAGGAGACCAGACAGGTACATGTATTGTGTATTATGCTACATTAATTCATGGTGACTTAAGACATGATTGCCATGACAATGCATAAAGGGAGATAATAATGTTTACAGGTTGAAAATGTATATGTTTTATAAATAGCAAAATTTTAAGATTCCAGTTTTAAGTTTATAAAATAATTTTTAATGAATGTTCTCCAAACGGACCAAAATTTAATGGTATTTTTATTTCGTTTTCATGTGAACAGATAGAAATGACCAGAGCAGAGGACATACATGTACAGCCCCCCCCCCCCCCCCCCCCCCCCCCAAAAAAAAAAAAGAAATTTGACAGTGGACTGAAAGTAATTTTTGCATAAAAAATACAAAGTAGGAAAGAGAACAGAGAGAAAAGAAGATCCAGTAAAAGTTATCACTGGTGCAAGATGGATATAGAGACGGTTTTCTAAAGATCATTACTAAAATCCATAGCAAATTGCAAGGCTGAGCTACTTTTCAAACTTATACAAAAGGACATAAAGAAATGTGAATTCCAGGAAACCAAGCTGACATCAAATGAGAGAATATGAAGGAACAAATTTTAGCAGAATTTTTTTTTTAAGCAGAGCATCAGTTTTCCTTAGAGAATATGTGTATTCTAAATTGATTCTAAATTGATTTCTTGTATTTTCAAAAATTGTCACTGTTTAAGTGGAGCATACATTCCAATGTCACGTTTATTTCTTTTCTATAAAGACAGTATTATGAAAAAAAGCAGTTTCTTCCCTTTTTATATCCCCACTCTGCAGGAGAGGTGGTATACTGATTTATTATATACCCCCACATGGGCTCACAAATTTAGAGTTTTATACTGGCAGGCTTCACACAGTATGTCATGTATGATTAGAGTATGAATACATTTTAACAAAACTGAGAACAAGATTGATTGTGAAGCACTGATTCCCCCATACATTGCAGTTTATGTCACGACTCCCACGAGGTATCCCAAGAAAGGTCTTGTCACAAGGAAAACACCTGTGAAATGTGAAAATCTAGTCCAACTTCAAAAGCTGTGGTTAAGGTTAAAGTTTTTTTTACGTCGGTCAATGTCTAAGGTCAAGGTCAAATAGTTAAAAATATTTATACCCATTAAAAGAACATAATAGTATAACTGATCATCTGAATATGCTGATAAGCAATGTGATAATAAAAATTAATTCCACAATATTTAGCATACAAGGCCATTTAAAAAAAATTTGGCTGCCTTCCCCCAACAGACTGACTAAAATTCAAAACTTTTTTTTACATTGCAAGACAGGATGTTTTTTTTTCTTTTTATCCATCTTATCTCGTCAACAAATATTTTGAAATTTTTTGGGAAAAAGATTTTACAACCTACCTATAGCTACCGACTTAATAATTTTACCAAGAGTTGGGAGAGGGCAAACAAACATTATAATCAAGATGGTCTTGCCAACTTGTTTTGAAATTATATTGTCTGACTTACTTTCATATTTTCATAAGATACTTTCATATCATTTATGAAATATGAGTTTGCCTTTTTACTTAAATTATACATTTAAAAAAAATAACCTGAAAACAATTGTTTTGAATTTGTACATATTTTAGTGAATAAATCAAAAGGATTAGACACAATTACAGGCCATTAAAAGATTCGTAAGAATTTTTGGAAACTCACTTGTTTTATGTCATATTTAGATTAAAATAACTAGAAGCCTGATTTGTTTCCAAGGCAACATATTAATTTACCTGTCACTGAGTTAATTGCAAAAGTTCTATTTCATTATTGAAAAGAAATTTAAATACTTGACATATATTCATATTACATAACAATTTGTTCAGTTTGGTAAAACATGTTCTTACATGATCTTCTCTGTTGTTTGTGATTAATGGGGGGGGGGGGGGATTGGCAAATTGCCAATTTTCATGCAATAATTTCTAGAAAGTTTTTGATTTACCCATTAATTTTTTTTATTCTCACAAAACCTTAGAATATATAGTTTATTTAATGATACATGGTTAAAAATATATCAGTTGTCAAAATGGTGAAAAATTTCATTGAATATGACTAAAAAAGACAAACTTGGCAAATTGCCAATTTGCTAACAGCCTTAATGCTGCGATGAAAATTCGATTAATCTCCATTCAGACATCTTGAATGAAATTTATTTCTCAGATTTAAGTAATATGAGCTCAGAGAATATAATTTTCATGTGAATTTACACTAATTTATTGAATGTGCACTAATTTAATTTAAAACAGAGCAAAATTTGCTTTATCGGAGGGTTATAAATATAACATCCTTGTTACCATGGCAACCAAATTCAAAAGTTAGACTTTAACATCATATTTATTAAAGATATGCCAAACTGTAGTAAATGGTGTGAATTTCAGCTAAATCGGAGACATGTCATGTCCACGACCCTATTTAAAATTTTGATTTTTATAGAGAATTGATATTAGAAAGTTTATTTTCTTTTATATCATATCTTACTTCGTTTAATGTCCTTGATTTTTAATTACAAGCGATTTGAAGTAACGTAGTTGTTTTGGAGCTGATATAAAAAAAGAAACTAATCCAGTTCAAAAGCAAGCAAAATGCGCGAACCCTTTTACATTTTTCTTTTATTTCAGTAATACATTTTCTACATTTTTTATATAAATCTCTTACATTCATCTTTTCCGACGACAACAGTAACTGTAAACCCGGATTCGTAAGAATTGGCAGTCCCGTCTGAATCCAGCTGTAGAAAGAGGTTACTCCCGGTGGTTGTTGCTGGGGGTTTACTGGAACCACAACTGGAGGACGAAGAACAACACACAGAGCCTCCAATGGCACTAGCACTGGACGATGTCCCTGAGGTATTGCAATAGTTGACATCAAAGAGAAAACAACAAGACATATTACTAGATAAATACATGGATGTAAGAATGGACGAATAGCTACGAGGTACTAAGCTCGAATCTGAAGTACACTGTAATATGGGTCTAAACATTTAACACCATACAAGTACAAAATATGTCTAACCGTCATAAAACTTTAATGTGTCCCCACAATCAACATAAACACTGGTGACTTCAAATGTTATCCTAGAACTGGCATCGGTGGATTGAAATAACCATTTACATGTCGTTGTTCTGTAAAATAAAGACAACAGTAGAAATAAATAAAGGCAATGTCATTAGAGACATTTTTTCTTTTGTAGAGATTTCTTTATGTGGTTGATTTAGTGTAAATATACAATTATTGAAGACAACTGGTTTGTTTGTCACTAAGGGTCTCTCACAATTTTTTCCCACTGATTTAGAGACTACATTTGCATACCATTTGTCGTTTGCGGGATGCAAATTTTAGACTACATGTAGATTTTATTCGGAGTAAATATCAAATTATGTACATAGGATACAGACCGGGTTCAGGATAT